ACAGGCTAGGCTCGAGTCAATCGCGGATTGTCTGGGCAGCCGATTGGAACATTATAGCCTCTGCTCACGCCCCAACGGTGAATCTGCTGAGCTAGTCCTGGGGGGAGCGGGGTCAAGGGGGTGCAGGCGGAATCAGGCCGGGCTTGACTGAGGAATCGGCACGGTTGAGTTGTTCGACACTTGTACTGACTTGATGTGACTGGGGGATCTGAGAAATCACGTTGAGAACTCGGGTGGAGTTTTCGGACGCTGTCAGCGCGGTTGGATGCCGATGTTGTGCTGTAACTAAACTGGTGGTCTTAGTATCGACGCATGGCGCGGCGGCTGGCTGACTGGAGTCCTGAGGATGGTTGTCTGATACTGCAGACTGCAGAAGGCTGATTGTCAGCGGGCAGAGGGATGGACTGACTGGTCGCGGCTCACTGGCCCTGCCACAGAGGTGGGTGGTCGCAGGCAGTTGACGGTTCTGGACGAATGAGTCGGTGGTTGGTCAATGGTCAATAACATATAGGATACCCATTAAAGGAGGTTGGTTTTCAGATCGGGTTATCGGTAACGACCTGTTCGTTTCAGTGATTTTAAGGTTTGTTTTATGCAGTCGACTTCGTTTCGATAACCCTGCTAAAATTAGCGATTTCTTTTTAAACATCGATCAATGCTTTTCATTGTTCTGAGACTCTCCTTTGTAGTTCGGAAGGTCCCAAAGAAATTCCTCTCTCGCAGAAAACAGATGTTTGGCTGTAGATTAGAGCTGGGCATTCACTGAACATACTGACCTGTTAATTTTCTTATTTGAAGCATAGTTTGATTTCGTCGGCCTCGTTTCTGTGGTACTGCGTAAATTGGCTATACTTTTGTCATACAACTAATGGTTAAGATTTTTACTTGCTTTCGAGATTCCTTTTTTAGTTCCAAAGGACCCAAGGAAATTCTACTTTCGCAGAAGCAAATGTTTGACACTACTCACTCTGGAGAGCTGGGCGGCCTCCGAACACACTGGCCGCTGCGACTGAAAAGTTGTCGCTCGTCGAGCGGCGATCGCCCCGGAAGAAACGACACGGCCGAACTTGGTGCCAACTTTGGCCGGGGTCGGCTGGCTCTGCGACACTGCAGGGCCGTTTGGACAGACTGGTCCTACTTGGAGAGAGTGCTGCCGATCGGCTTTCGAGTCCGATCAGGGGTGGTGTGGGCAATTTAATCATGCGGAGGTTGTTTGCGATCTGACGATAATATCAGTCGTTCGTAGTTGATTGGGCTGTTATACGACTTTCCTGGTGGTGGACATTGGACCTGGTACAGTCCACAGCAGAAGTAATGTGTGGTTTCAGTCATGGGTATGTTCTGCTTCTGAAGCTTAGGAACGATTAGCCAGACTACAATGAAACTTTGAATGTAGCTTATATGTATCGTCACCCTTGCAGCTGCAACCTTAGCTATTGACATCTTCTTTTCGATCACTCCGCATTAAACAATCGCCAGTCAAAGCCAACCGTTGATATTGGTAAAACCCTACATTACTCAAGCGGTGGGCTGTACGTAACGGTGATGTTTCTTTTTGCTAATGACGACATTTCGCCTGATGGGAGCTAGTAAAGTCAACGATACCTGCTGCATATTTATGCATACAATGTCAGCTGTATTGTAATTATACATCTGCAAGACGTAACGATGGCCATTTTTCCTGAAGCTGTCCGTCTTGCAGTTACCCAGCCTGGGACCAGCAGTTGTTCATTCCTCGTTGTTTGCCTTGTTGGACCACCTTTTCTCTCCTATCAGCATGCATTCCAAAAGCTGATTTCTTGGCAGCAAGGTCTGGACTTATCTCATCTACGTGGAACTTTGCCTGTTTCCAGCACTCATGTAACCAAACATGCATTTGGTGCATGCTTGCCTAAATCACCCGTATCATTGAGTTTATTCTTGTGTGCAGCCGACGTTTGCTGTGCTGCTACCACTTCTTGTGGTTGAAGGAAATATGTTTGGTCGTTCTTCAAATCGCTATCATTACTGGCGCACAGCTGACGGAAGATATGGGGACACACAATCTCTCGTCAGTCGTCATTGATGGCGTGGCACGGAGCACTTGTGATCCCAATAGACATAACTGCCACTTGACCTTTGCTTTGTGACTACACCGGTATCGCACAATGCGCATGTGCCTACCACCCACGCACAGAACGTGGGTGGTCCTAGCTTATTCACCCTGTGTGTCCTCTCGTCATCCATCCATCCATCCCGCCTCAACCAGTGCCAGTGTACCCTCACTAGCACTATCATAACCTGCTGCACAAAGTACCTCGGTCGTCGTGGAAACTTCCGACTCCGATGCTGCTCAGCTCTAGAGCTCAACTTATCTGTGATATCACCGTAGCCGGTCGCGGTCTGTCACAGCAAGTCATCTCACGTCACGTCACGGCTCTGACACTTTTTACCAGCTCTTGTTCTACCAAAGTTGATGACCCGGCCGTGATGACGCACGCAGTATGGCCGATGGGTTCGTGGTTGGTCTGCTGTCGGTATGGACGGGCACGCTCGTGTTTCGAGCGGGCTGGCTGAGAGGGGACTTCTGTCGCAGGACCTCTGCAGTGTCCGAAGGATTATGTGCCGTCACGGTGATGGCTGTGAGATCAGTGGCTAGATGATGCAGCCCACGGTTCGCGACCTCGATACTTGATGGCCAGCACTTATTTGTGCTTCAAGTTCTCACTCTTTCTTCCGGGCTTTGCTGGCTTTGTGTCAGCATCAACGCATCTAGTACTGTTATATATTTGCGACTGGCTGTACTTTGTTACCTGTCATATCTCTGACGAGTGTTATTCCAGTCATTCCAACTGATCTGAAACTCTAATTCCCTCGACTGAAGTCAAGCCCAGTCGTGTACAGTCAGCACGAGAAGCACCAGGTGTGCCGTGCCCCACCAGTGCCCACAAACACGCGCGTCTGATGGGCCGATGGCCGACATTCCAGGCGTTCCCCGTTACATCTTCCCTCGTCACGGACCCCATCAGCGGACAGGAATGCCCAAGGACCACCCGTGTCAGCCTGCCCACGGGACTGTGCCAGTCGTGGGCACTCCCAGGAAACGAGGATAGGGCGGAGGCTCTCTTTGATCCTGGCCAGGGAATCTCCTCTTGTACTTGGAATGCGGTTTGGGCTAGTTTTCGGTCTGATCTGAGCTAACCTGATAAAATGGACCAGTTTCGGGAGATCGCGATCCCCAAACGGCTCAGATGAGCACAATCCCCTGTGCTTACGATATGACATACCGGATAATCTTAGCCGTATTCGGCTAGTTCGGTTCTCAATATGGAGTCGCATTAGGGCTATTTGGGAATATCCGGTGCGCTGCAAGTGACGTGGGTTGTTTCCATTCAGGTTGATGACTGTGCGTTGAATATGTATGGTGGGCGCCACACGGTGGCTGCTATAAGGCAGGTACCGATGTGGCGCCGCCCGCGACAGCCGTATTTAGGCGCAGCTGCATCGGAAATACGGCAGTGGCACGACGATAGGTCGATTTGGACTGCCGACTGGTCTGAGTCACACTGCAGGGAGTTGACTCATCGTCTTAGTGTCGGTATTAGCCCAGTCAATACTTGTCTGGACCAGACAATAGTCGAGCTTTGCTGGATCGGGCTGCTGAGCCAAATACAGCATTCAAATACATAATATATGTAGAGTAGACGGTAAGTTCCATTTGAGCACGCGCAAAGTCAGTCTCGATTGACGTGTCTCGTGTCGATATCCGAGCCCCGGACCTAACCAAACTTTGGCCATTACATGAACCTGCCGCCCGTACACCGGTCCGATGCGGTGCAGGGCAGAGTTTGCTGTCTTGCTGACGCAAAGACCACCCAGCTGGTCTGTAGAAGCTGACCACAACACCAGCAGACCCGTCACACCAGGTCTGGCGAGTGGGGTGGTAGGGAACCACGGCACTTGTCGACACGGGTGTTACGCGCTTCTGGGTACTTTATGGGGAGTTGTCAGGTCAGCGGTCAGTCCGTCACGCAGTGGATAATTTGTGGTAATTGTTGTTGGCCCCCATGAAGAAGTCGATGATCATTTCAGTGGCTAATCATGCCGAAATATCGTATGAGATGTGCTTGTGCCACCAAACCATGTTCTTTGGCATTGCTGCGTTCGGATGTCTCCTCCATATTCTTTCTCTTTTTTGATCGAGTTGGTATGAGAATCACAAATCTCGCCGCCATTTCTCCGATCGTCTTTTCTATGCATTTCGCTGGCGTGGAACCAGCGCCAATGATTCCCAGCGGGAGTAGGGCCCATATACAGACCGGAGCCCCGTGGACCTCCGCCCCTCACCGGCGGCACCGCCCATGCATCTGTGACCAGCCGGTACCCAGTACCGCACCGGTGTGTGCATGTGTCGGGGGAATCCTGTACCGTAGTCCGATTCCCGTCCCATCTGTGTACAAATGGCTCAGAATGGCAATGGAAATAGACGGCCAATGTATTTAGCGGCGCGGCAGCCCGGCCGGAAAAGGTCACAGAGCGGGCGGTGCGGGCCTCTCATGGCGCGTGCCCGTGGCGTGCTGGAGGGATGGCCAAGCTGTGCTATGGGGATGGGTCATGTGGGTCACTGCGCAGGAGTGGCGGGGAGTGTTAATGAGTGGGTTGCGTGGCTAGCAGATAGAGGCAGAAGGCTTGCTAGGCATGGACTGCGCGTGTCAGCACGTGTCATCCAACACCGAGATCTGTGTTGGATGTCCTTTTACCATACAATACCTAGATGTGAAATGCCGTACTGAGCAACTAGAGTGATTAGGGTGTTTGTTGAACGTTATCAGTCATTGTGTTATTTTGCTACCGCTAGCTCTCTCCAGCGCTCTGTTACCCTCTGAGTTCTGCTAACAAACTGCCTGAAATGAACGCGTGGGCGTGGACCTGGGACACCTCCCTGCCCCCTTGCCGTTGCCTAGCGGCCGCTGTGCGAACTATCCGCCAGTGCTGACACCTACCGGCCGCTGTGTTCTCAGGAGTTCCTGCTGGCGATCGACGTGACCTCTGCCGGCACGCCCGAGGAGAAGCTCCGCTGGGCCTTCAGCATGTACGACGTCGACGGCAACGGCGTCATCGACCTTCAGGAGATGACCAAAATTGTCCAGGTGAGACGTGAGGTCATGTAGATGACGTTTTGTGGGTGATGGGAATGATGTCATAAGATCTTTTACGGTGGTGTAATTGTGAGCTGTCTGTCGATATAGTGAGGATGTGAAATGTGAGCTGTTTGTGTTCGTTGGTGGGTGGGCCGAAACAGGATAACTGCAGGAAGAAGTGTTGGTATGACTGATGCTCGACCTCCTGAAGAGCTTTCGGAAGTCGACTCGGATCTCCATCTATTGATCAGGCTCTGTCCCAGACTCCCCAGCTCCGATTCCGCTTCCGAACCCCACCCAACCTGGGTACGACAGCGCGCGCCACCGTACCCCATCCCCGTCGGACGGGCTCGCTGTCGGCTCGGTGGCCGCGTCGCTCGTCGGCCGACTCGCCGCCCTGGGAGCGGACGGAGCGGGCACGGCCGGCGCGCATTGATTTCAGATGGCCCGTCCGCCGGACCGCCCGCCGACTGGGCTGTGTCGCTGCTATTGAGGGCTGGCAGCGGCCGGCCGGATGGCGAGAGACGGGCCGGGCGGCGGGAGGAACAGCGGTGACAGAAGGGATGCGGGGATATCACGCTCGACGCTCATCTCTGTTATGTCGAGTGCTGAGAAGGATATAGTTCTTAAGCCTACAATGTGGGGAATGGGCGATAATTACTCTGGAGGGATGTTGCATGGCGTACTGCTAATTTAAAATAACTTTCTGAGCTCTCTGAGTTCTGAGCACTATGACTTCTCAGCTAACTACATTGCATGAATTTAAAGCAGTGATACTGAGTCTCATTGTTGTTAATTGTGGTCGGATTATGTTATGTTCAATTCTGGTAAATATTCAATTTAAAGGCACCATTAATGGAGTTGGCGACAAGCAACTGAATGAGGCGACGTTTTGAGTCAGCGCGACCCTTCAGAGCCATTCTGTGGCTCCTGGACTAAGTTTTAATTCCTGAACTTTGCTGCAGCTGCTAAGCTAGATTTCATCTCAGGGCTGCATTGTTGGTGCTAAACTTTGTTGTAGCCCCTCAGCTCAGCACTCTGCATCGAGCACCTGCACTGAGCGCTCCTAACTGAGTGTGTGCCCATCCATCTCCGGTGTAATCGGGCGCTGTCGATATTCGCTCATCCCCGTGTCTACGCGTAGGTGTCGCTCAATACTTGGCTCGATGGTATGTCTCTGACCTGTCTATGGGTGATTGATGACTGCAGGTCCCACGTGCACGTCGATGGTAATGGGTGCTATAAACCAATTACAAGGCTGATTATCAATGACGGTTAACTGGAAAACCCGTATATGGACGCATGATTGTCATGACATGGTTGACCCAATATGTCTTTTTTCTTTTCATATTTGCTTTTAGTGAGGGGTATGGAAGCTGTACACTAACTTAACTAAACCAATGTGAAGGGCTGCTTGTTGTTCATTCAAGCACGTATTTTCTGTCTCAGATCCTACACTCTGATCAGATGTCTGCATTTCCTTATTCTTTGCACGAAATACTTATTTCTTATTGTACGCCTTTTATGTCTTTTTGATTGCGGTCTTATTTTCACTGGAATGGTAACAGCTGCATGTCTCTCTTGCCTTACTTTCGACTCTTGATTCGCTCCCATAGCTCAACTGTTTGCCTGCCGTGCGTATGTCCGCCCCTTTTTCAGCAACTGTCCCGTGCATTTCTGATAGATGGGCGATCGCCTCCTTGCAGCGGCAGTCCGACGGTCGCTCAGTGTCACCAGTGCGGTTAGTTACGGTGACGGTAGACCAGTTGGCCAGTCCAGTAGAAGTAGCATCGGAGACCGAGGTGGATGGGCACGGGGCAGGCCAAGTGCTGTAGGGCTCCCGTAGGCAGCCGTGGTTTATAGAAGGCGTTAGTTAATGTGTATTTGTCCAGGTATTGGTTTCCGGAGGATGTTGGCACCTGTATGTTGGTTTCTGAAGAGCTTCGCTTCGTGTTGGTTCCCGAAGGACTTGGTTCCTGGTTGTTGGATTCCGGACCCAGCGGCGGTGACGGTGATGCTGGATGCTGCTGAAAGGAAGCCTCAGGTCCGCTATGTAATATTAGCCAATGGTTGGGGTGTTGAGGTGATGTGTAATGCAACTGTAACGGTGAAGTTGTATGCTGTATACGAGTGTATGGCTCTGGTGTTCTCGGGCTGGATATTTCTTGTCCATTATTGATTCAGCGTGTATTGTGTCTGTCCGTTATATATGTCATATCCAATAAGCAGTGTGTCGGACAAGCCTGTTTGTTTGCTCATACGGCATCCATTTCACTTATCCATTTACCCATTTATGTGCCTCCTGCCCATTGTGTGAACAGTAGCCCGTCATTGACTGTCCGCCTGCCGGCGCTCTGTCCCCATCGGTCGTTATCGCGTGCAGACATGGACCGGTCCGGCTACCCATCGCGTGTGGACGATGGGACGGTGTCCGTGTCCCACCGGCGGGCCCGTGTCCCACCGGTCAGCGACAGAGGGAGGGAGGAGACAGAGGGAGGGAGCGCGGCGCGTGACCCCGGCCCGCGGCTGAGTCACGGTCCGTGACGCCACGTGACTCCATGGGGTGGCACGTGACGTAGTTCTCGTCTCTCCGGCCGTGGTATGGCGTGTTTTCTGTAGGGAGCCGTCGGCTGGGTTTTTCTCAATGAGAGAGGAAGTGTGACGCGGAGGCGGGAGTTTAATAATAGATGACTGCTCGCATACAGATAGATATAAGATATTGCAGTATGGTATTCAATGGTCGGACCGAGATATAGTTGCTGTTCATTCATGCCTTTCCGTGTCTGGATGCCGCTATAGACTACGTGGAAGTTTCCAATAATAGTGTCATTGTGATGTTTCTTGTTACGTAAGTCATCCAATCAATGTGCGGTAGCTGCTCCGGCCTCCGCGCCTGGCCATCCATTGAAGACATGGCGACCCGGTGAAATACATAAGTCATGGAACCTGCGAGAAGTGATCGCGCATCTTTTGTAAGTCACTGAGGACCTGCCTTCTCACTGCCGTTGACGGATATTATCATGAGTTGATGTCAATGTCGGGGCATTGTTAGTTATTTGATTTTCTGGAGTCCTCAGAATGCATTCCAAGGCTGGGATTTGTTGGTTCTTCACAATAAGTAAATTATAAATTGTGAAAGCTGATGTTGTGGTACTCAGACAGTTGGCAAAGCTCAACAGTGACTAAGAACTCGAACAATGTTCCAGTCCTCTGTGCTCAATGGATCAGCAGTAGGGTTGTTGCATGCTGACATCGATTTTGTTGCATGGTGATGTTAGCACTCGGCATGGATTCACTTTCAGGAATGCCTGACAACCGTTCTTTCTTCTTTTTTCCGTTTACGATAAGGGATTAGAAATGCGCTCTATCATGAACGAGCTCGACTGTTGCTTCCCTGTCCTTCAGCATGTTGGTAGGCCGACATGCGACTTATTTGGACATTGCTGTACAATAATGGCGAGAAGTGGTCAAGAAGTGATGCGATGTAAAGCTGGGACAGGACCGGCTCCTGTGTCACCAACAAACCTCTAGCTGTTTCACTCTGTTGCTCAGAGTCGTTTGGTTGTTCTAAGATCAACGAATTTTTTCTGAGTAGATGACGATGATACCGAGGGTGGCCATCTCAATAACATAACATAGCAGCTCAAGTCAACAGCCATAAAATTATTCCTTCTTATATCTCTGTCACCGATTTCGCTGCTCCGACGCCTTGTCTCGGTGACCTCTGTCGCTCGGTCGTCCTTCCTCTCTGCCCGTCCGACCGTCACAGTTGGTTATTCCGCCCGGCCGGTGCCGGCGCGGGATCGCTGTCGCTCCGGCCGTCAATTTCCGGGCGGCCGATGAGCCATTTCCGATGAATGAAATGAGCCACCTGTTACGTGCCCGGCCGCGGCGAGTCGCCCCACGGGCTGTAGCGTATAGGCGCCGGGCTGTGCAGTGTGCAGGCACCGTGATGTGGACAAGGTCTGCCTCCCGGGTGGCCCGAGTGGCCGTGCATGGGGTACACACTGCACAACTGCACAGTGCACAGGGGAGACGGCGCTGTGCAAACGTGCAGTGGTGATTGCATCCGAGGCTGTGAGTCATGACAGAGTCTCGTCTCAGTGATTGGATGGTTGGAGAAAGCGCCACGGACGGGCTGAGATGCGAGGACATGCAGGCTGGATTGGCAGAAAATTATGCTGTGATAAGTCATGAATCGAAAGTGGGATATTGCACCAAGTTCTCCATGTTGATTCGAGTAGTGTCTCGTGGCAGAGACAGCTCGTTCCGATGTCGGGCGCCTGGTAAGGCACAGCTCCCTCCCTGCTCTCGGCCCTCCCCGGGCCCCGCCCCACTCATGTCATGAATGTCAATGGCCAATCGAGCCGGCCCTCGCCGGCGGCCGACGCCGAATATGATCGGAAACGGGGCGTGACCTGACGCCAGATGAGGTCGTATGGAGGAGGATAGGAGCGTGGTATGAGGAAACAGCCGCCAGACCATGTAGGTCCGCACGGGGAGCGAAGGAAGAGTAAGGACTAAGGAGAACCATGTGGGTCCGTGGCAGCTGGCTCTCTTGTCGAGGGAAGACTATTTATATATTTATGTTTATGGCTGAGAAGCAGTGAATGGGCGTTAGGTAAATTATCCACGAGTTGGTTGGTAGGTCGAGTTCTGACGATGACTTGTGAGCAAGTTGAATCACGGCAAGGGACTTTGCATAGTGGTTTATATTTTCTAGATTAGGAAATGCATACATTGCCTGTATATTTTAGTTTATCAGCAGTGCGCAGGGGTGGAGCTTCCTATTCACTTGGTGGGGCGCCTGCCCCACCAACTTGCCATTTTGCCCCACCAATAAGCGTTTTGCCCCACCAACTTAAGCCGATTTGCAGGACTTTACTGCTTAGCAAACCTATGTTTTTCGCATTGAGGAGCTTTGAAATGTCTGTGTAATGCAAAATATTATCTCTGTAATGAAAAGAATTGATTCATTGTTGAATTTTATCTAACTTAACAATCGGACATTGTAGGTTTGACAACTTTTTGCCCCACCAACTTTCCCGGAAAAGCTCCACCCATGGCAGTGCGGTCTGTTTCATTTGTAGCCTTTTCGCATGCAGCGTCGTAACGTCACAGCACCGCGTTTCCAGTGTTTTTTTTGTCACATTGTCTCGACATGGATATCACCGTCACCTTCACGGTCACATTGAATCGTGACGCAGTCACGGAGTGACGCACCCGTCCGTAGCGCCCCCGCTCCGACTGCCAACGGCTCCGTCACGGGGTCTGTTTGTTTGGGTTGTCCGGGCGTCGGCTGGGCCCGCGGGCGGGGTACCGGGTCAACCAGGTCCGGTCACCACACGGTCGATCTGCCCCAGCTCCACGGTCACATGATCGGTGGCCTGAGGTCGTTGGGACGTTAGAAGTTTCTTGACGATCTGTCTCGTGACGTCTGTCCCGGCTCCCAGGTCACATGATTGGTGGCCTGAGGTCGTTGGGACGTGGGGAGCTCCTGGCTACGTGCTTTCTGGCGATGTTGGATGCGGGTATTTCCCTCGCAATAAGATGCTGCACTCCTCGCCCGAAGGATAGGTCTGGTTGTGATGATACTATGATGACGCTGATAGCGCTGGTGTCGGCGGTGATGGTGATGATCTGTCCGACAAGGTTGGCGATGGATGATGCGCCGTCCGCCGGCCGTGCCGCGCCCAGTAATGGCCCTGTTGCTTCCTCTGATGGTCGGGGTATGGGGAGCTAACGCAGCAGCTCTCATCGAATGTATCGCGTAAATGGGGAGACTGATGGAAAATGATGGGGGAAGGCTCCAGGCGTGTGCCATGTTACGACAGGAAGTTTTCTACGAGCCCACATTAAATAGCTGACTATGGGATGTTTCTATAATGATTGACCGATAACCAAGTTTATCTATAGCGGAGAACGGAACTGTGTAGTCTGTATTCTATCATCTGTCCTCACACTTCGTAGCTCTCCGAATTATCGATCAGCCTTATCCAGTAACGCCCTCAGTAATTTCAGAATTTGGTTTCTGGAGCTTGTTCTGTGGCCGCGTTCACCCATGATGTTCTTCTTGTGCACGTTGTCTTGGAGACAGTATTTCCATGTTCGCCTTTATCGTCGTTTGTTTGGGGCTGTTTGTGTTTCTTTACAGCTGTTTGTGCGGGCGATCAGCTCTGTGGGGTGTTTGTCCAGTGTTGCCGAGAGTTTGATGTGTTTGCCCGCCATCAGCCGTCGAGTGTGATTGTGTTTGTGCTGAGTCAGCAGCCCCTGTCTGTATGTGTGTGTGTGTCCAGTGGGCGGTGTGTGGGATCTGGATAACGTGCCCACTCGACTGTGAAAAGCACCGTTTGGGATTTGTGAATCACACAATTACAATTCGGAAGCACGATAGCGTGACTAAATGGAAATAAATGGCATTGATTGCTAAACGTGACTCAGCCTTGAGGATTCGACATCATGGTCGATGGTTTTGATGACATCTACTTTGTTGGTGTTTATGATGCCCTTATATCTCAATAATCATCATGCCTAGCGTGTGTTTGTTTAAATTCCGCTCCCACTCGCCCGACCCTCGGCTCGTTGACCGGCCATCTGACCCCGTGTGACCCCGTCTGACGCGCGCCATCTCTGTCCGACAGGCCATTTACGACATGCTGGGCACCTCGTCGCCGTCCAAGCCGCAGGACTCGGCCGAGGAGCGAGCCAAGACCATCTTCGCGCGGATGGACGAGAACGGCGACAACCAGCTGACTCAGGAGGAGTTCCTCAAGGGATGTCTGCAGGACGAAGAGCTCTCCAAGATGCTCAACCCGACCGCCTCGTAGACGGCCGGCCGGCCGCACCATGACGAAGGTGGCCGACTCGCCGCGCGCGCGGCGCCGCTGCCACTCGACGGTGACGTCACTCGGCGCGCCGGAGAGGTGACGTCATCTCCTGTTGGCCAGGTGACGTCACTCGGCGTGGGCGTGTGACCCCGTGTCGGCGCTGGACATAGGCCGAGGTCGCGGCGCGAGCGACTCGGCCCGCCGCGAGCCCGCGCAGACTGGAGCTCTGCTGATGACCGGATCAGACTCTGTCGACCGCCGCGCTGCGCCTGAGGAGATGAGAGGAGCTGGCAGTGCGAGGGTGGCAGGCGCTGCCAGTGCTGAGGTGCTGAGAGAGAGGGAGAGAGAGTGCAATGGCGATCGTGCGAGGGAGCGGCCGCGCGCCCCGCCCCGGTGATAGGGAGCGACCGGCGCGGCGCATGTGATGAGATGGTTTTATGGTTTGACGCTGCTGCGACCCGCGCACAAGCGGAGGCAGAATGGGTGAACGCGGTGCGAGTGCAGGTGTGAGTGAGATTTTTCGACTTGTTCAAGTCTTGTATGCGCCGAATTAGCTTGCTCTTATGTTGGTGCGCGCGCCCGCGCCGCCGCCGCCGCCGCCGCCGCCCTGTGAGGCACTTTTATCTGGCCGTGTGGGCGTTGTCACTGCTGAGCGGGTGTCTGACCGCTGACGGTGGGTGACCTGACCCGACCCGGGTCGGCGCCCCGCACCACGCACACTTTCTCACATTCCGAACCACTTCCTGACTAACCCGTCTGCCTCCCGGCCGGGCAGGGAGGGGGAGGGACGGGGGCGGGGAGCGCCGGCCGCCGCCGCCGCTGCCGTCGCCGCGGCCCCGCCCCGCCATCGCCAGACGTCCTTCCTGTTGTTACGCTCTGTTTGGTCGGGCTTGTTTCCAAATAAAGTGGCTAATTTGTAGCCGGCGGCTGGTTTCCCCACGGTGGGCGCTACGACAGGTGGCCCGCGGCGCCGCTGGCAGACCGCCCAGCGGCCGCGCCGGTGCAGTGGTGAGAGGGACACCGGCGCCGCCCAGTAGCCGGCCAGACGCCCCACAGCTCTGTCGGAGACGACGACGCTGTGTCGGTCGCGACGCGAGCCGCCGGAGACGCTCGGCTGGGCTGTGACGGTTGTGTGACGCCTCCGTGACGCCCTGTGACCCTCCCGTGACGGTGGTGTGTGACGGCCGACACAGGATCCCCGTGACGCCCAGTGTGCTGTCCCGCGGCGCCCCGGGGCGAACCGCGCCGCCCGGCCGCTGACGGCTGACGGCCGCTGTTTCAGTGACCTCGCCGCCGCCACCATGGGCAAGCAGAACAGCAAGCTGAAGCCGGAGATGCTGGACGACCTGCGGGCCAACACAGAGTTCACAGGTGCGTATGCGGGCGGTCCCAGATTCTAACTCTGATCCTGATTCTGGGTACTACAATTATATTTTATGGAGGTTCCTGTATTATATAAGTTAAAAAGTCACGGTGGACTGTGTCCAGTTTAGGTCAAAACATCACGTTTCATTTAGTTTAACCCCACTACGTTCAAAAGCTATTATTTGGGACTGCCATGAAAGAAATTTAATTCAGCGAAAGAAAGCTTCGGAAAACCCACCACTGAACGATGGTCGTTCTGGTACCTCTATCTTCCAAAAAAAAAAACTAACTCGATCTCCCGTTTTGAGCGACTTTTCCACCAGCAGGCAGACCCTCAGCCCTCTTATCTATTCCCACTGCTCGCTGCCCTTACACCAGGGCAGTGTCTGGGGGTTCTGCCCTTACCTTTTACACCGTCTGCCGGCGCCGCCCGGCGGTATGTCCAGCGGCCGGCCGCGGGCTGGGGTCGGTATGCGGCCGTCTCGGCGGCACTTTGGACGGCCGCCAGCGGCCCTGTGCCCGGCTGGCGGCCGCACAGAGCCGCTGACGGCTGTTGGCCGCGACACGGCCCGCGGTGACGCGCCGGCCCGCAGGCTGCCAGTATACCTGCCGACGGTGACCGGCCCGGCGTGACGGGGTCAGGGTAGCAGCGCGGCGCGACGCGTGGCGCTGGAGGGGGTGCGATTGCCAGGGTTTCAAGGGGGATAGTGCTCAGCTGTTGTGATGTTAAAATTCATAGCCGATATGAGCTGATGGGATGGCGTTGCATGCGGGCACCACTCGAGACAACGCAGACCCAAGCGTTACGAACTTGCGACTGCAGCGACCTAATCCATCACCTTGACCGTCCTTCTTTGGATCTGTCCAATTTCCTCGCTATCATTGACGCCATTTTCTCTTCATGTCTCCTCTCCCTCGCCCTTTCCACCATCCTTTCTTCCATCACCCTCGACAGTAAGCCGCGCTTATGACAAGGATGTGCTGCTCGAGGCCTCTTATGCTGCGGCACGTGTTAGCCTATCAGGGCCACACCCGTCGTCCCGTCACGGTGGGTCCATATGGGAATGGAGCATGACTGCGAACAGGGGAGGGAGGGTGCAGCGTGGCGAATGGCATGCATGGGTGATGGACCGTGCAGTGCCCAGACTGCGAATAGGTATTACGGCGCGTGCCAGTACGAACTGCTTGTCAGTCTGAGCCAGACCAAGTGTCTGCTAGACTGCTAGACTTGCGCAATGACTGGCGACTGGTAGAGAGGGTTGCGTTTGAAGTTAGCGGTATGTAGGGTTAATCCTCGCATAACAATGTAGGATGCCGCTGCGCTACCAAAGTCCTTCCCGGCTGGCAGCACCTGTGTGCCTTGCTTTTTACGGTGCACCGTCGGCTGGGGAACAGCAGCAGCATTGACTGGACCTCGGAACAGACGAGCTCTGTCCCTTCCCGCACGTGACTTAGCGTTCGCGTGGATAAATTTTTACAGTGGCCAAGACCCGACTTTTTTCAATAGTTTCCACATATTTTCCTGTCATTCCATCTGTCTGTCCGTTTTCTGTCTGTCTGTCCGCGGCTGTCTTTAAGACAGCGCTTTTCTGCCCGTCGCCCGCTGTCCACGGGCCGTTTTCGCATGCGGACGGTCCCATATCGTCGCCGCCAACTCTGGCGCCGACGTGTCCAGTTCATGCCGACGACCTCGGCAATATGGCAATATGCACCTCACGCCGCCTCCTCGGCAATATGCAGAACGACGCGGACAGGGCTAACTTGAACTAGTGCCGTCCAGCCTGTCAAGGCGGCAGCGGCTCTCCGTGATTGTACGGCCAGCGCCGTCAGTGCGGCTGTGCCCGTCCAGCGAGCGAGCGGGGTTTGGAAGTCGATCACCTATATTTGGACAGCAGACGTCACTGCTTTGTTTCGCCGGGGATTAGGATGGCTGCATGCGATGGGGTGGGGAGGGTGGCGGTGCTGGGCGGGGAGGGAAGCGTGCTGGACAGTGAGCTAGCTGGATGGGCTTTGCGGTGGGTGCAGTTGTGACGGCAAATGAAGTTACTGGGCTCGATGGTCAGAGGTGATTAGAAACGCTAATAAATCGTTTAGCGGACTGACTCTGGGTGTAAAGAAGTTATTTTTTTCCTGTACTTCGACCTTTATTGACAGGTCTTCAAAGGGGCAAACTAGGGTAATTCGCGTGCTATACTATGCAGACCTTGCCCCTTTTGGAGACCTGTCAATAAAGGTCGAAGTACAGGAAAAAATAACTTCTTTACACCCAGAGTCAGTCCGCTAAACGATTTATTGTCATTAATATACCTTATATACCTGGGTTTAAATATGACTTTACAGTGATTAGAATAGAAACGTCTCTTTGATAAACTGAGGCCTGTTTCACTAAAAACTTGTATTTACAAGTGTTTGTAGTTTACAATTCATAAGTATTTTTACCAACTACGTAAAAGCCGATTTCACTAAGCTTCATCGCCAGTGGCACCTCCGATAAGAAAATGTTTGCAAATAAACTTGTAAACAGTAAAAATGTTTTTAATCAAGAACTATAGCATGTTAAAGATACTGCTTCTTTGTATCAAATATTGTCTAGTATTTATGTCAAAAGCTGCCTAATTAAATTAAAAATAATGATGCTGTTGGAAAAAGATATAAATGATAATTCACATTGTCCTATTGTTGAAAGAAAATGACACGCAGAACATTTGACAGCAGAAGACTGTTGAATGCAATTATGGCGCGCGAATGACAAAACATGACGATATTTTAATACCGATTATTTTGCTTCTTAGGGTGTGTGCTAAGTAAAAATTGAGCATGAAACGACTCAACAAAGCATAGTTGTTCTAAATATATGACTGTTTTGCATTATTGCACAAAAAGTATCAAAATTCCGAACGTCAGGACCACTGGAATTTCAGGTTTGTAGTTAGGATGTTTTCTTTCAAGTTTCTGGTCTTCGTGAAACAGAAAGTTTGCGATTCCCATGTTTTCTAGCAAACTTTTTCTTGTAAAAAAGTTTGCAAATTTTAAACTCAAAATTCATGTTCAAAGGTTTCGTGAAATCCAAATCTCAAATGTTGGTAATTATTTCTTGTAAACTCAAGCTTTTTCTTTGTAAATACAAGTTTTATTTGTTAGTGAAACAGGCCTTGGTCTGGATCCCCTTGAATGGAATGAGGAGAGAGAATGCTCCTTAGGTATATTACCTTCGATATTTTTTATTAGTTTTGTGTCTTCATCATATGCAATTTTCTTTCGTGGGATCACTCGGCTTGCACGAGCGCGGCGCGCAACTAGAAGTCAAACTTCGGGTTGTCGAAAATGGTTTCCACTCTTGCACTTAAGACACTTTGTTTTGATATTAATCCAACCACCCGATAGTCTTCTGAAATACATCTCCCTGTGTGGTGGTGCTTTTTCTCGACAATTCCGAGAATAGCTCAAAAGTCAAAGGCCATATCGCACTGTAATTTATTCACAAATAAAAGTGTCTTTAGTATCTCCAACACTACGATTCAGTACAACATGATCACCTGCAATTATCCGTATCTGACATTTCCCGTTTATTTCTGCTGGCTATATCGGCCGCAGCCTAAGGTAATAGATATGGGAAAAAACACAGAGAAACGACCATTACCACGCCCACTCAGTAACGTCTCTGCGGTGGTCGCCTCTACGCACCAGAACGCCGCCGAATAGGCATTGTGCGTTTCTGGCGGTTCCCTCATGGAGAATGCGGTAATTGCCCGTTTTTACCGAGTTGACATCCATCTGCCAGGGAAGTAGGTATAAGGTGGGTGGTATAGTGCTTGCGTGCAGGCAAATTAGCATTAGCGGATATCGTCGATTGATGATGTCTGATGCCATTAAAAAGCATGTCTGATATGTGCCGACTTATATTTGGAGAGTCTTAGTGGTTAGTCCTAGCTGATTGCTCGAGTCCTGACATGAGAGGAAAGGACTGCTAGAAACAACCAGTACCTAGACATCCACATTTCACAGATACAGGCAACCGTCATAGGAATTACTAACGGATGGTGTTTGTCAATTGTCAAACAACCTGCGGCTAACCTCTTTTGTCATTTATAGTACCTCGTTTATGCTGTTGATATACAGTTGAAAACATCAAACCGCGTTATTGAAAGGAAAGGCTCAAAGTGCAATCCCTCGATTACCGGCGATGCAGTTGTAGTTGAGCGCTAATGAAGTGCTAATTATGGCAGTTACCAGTAATGATGGTCTGCCGATATTCATCTATGCATGTAGTAGGTATGTTTCTGAATTGCATAAATAGCTTGTAGAAAGGGGCCGCTGATAGATAGTCCAAATGCGAGTCGAATTCGGAGTCGGTCGGAATCGACATTACGTGGCTTGTCATCCTTGTTTGTTTAAAATATTTTGCGTCCGTCTTCTGCCTTTCCTGTCAGGCTATTTGCTGATTATAATATTGGATAATAAAAACGGGTGGTCCAGCATTCGTTGGATCAGGACTGGAGATTCTGTGGGGTCGTGAGGATTCAGAATTGGGACCCTTGTGTGCCAAAACCTCACGAGGTTTCCACGCTATCAGTCTATAGTGAACTGACTCTTCTTGGAACAAGTTCGATATACCGTTTAAATCGTTGAATCACTTTTGCCGATGCAAGGCATCATTATCTTTTTATAAAACTCCTTCAATAGGAAAGAACATTTGGTAAAATTGGGCTCTTCAATTCCCGTCAATACAGCCTTTATTCAGCCCGGATTCTGGACGACTCGGATCGACTTGAACGTCACACGCCACACAGTCCTTGCGATGGAGAATCCGTGGCGAAAACCATTCGGCGGCGTTCTAAGCCGCTTGATGTTGAGAGGTCAATACAGATGGCAGGCACAGCGGATATGCAGTGCACGGTTTGGTTGTTACCCGCTCATTTTTTTTTTGTATAATTATTATTATTTGTGGATTCTGCAAGAAAATTATTTTTTCTACCACATTCTTAAAAGCTTGAAACACTAAAACC